CCCCTGAACCCCTAACTAAACCCTAAACCCCTAAACCCCTAAACCCCTAAAACACCTAAACTCTAAAAAAACCCTAAACCCGAAACCGCTAAACCCCTAACCCCTAAACCCTAAACCCTAAAACACCATGGAAATACTGTTGATGGACACAATTGTGCTGGACCCAAATATAGTATAGTACCATAAACCCCCCATAGTTTAGGTATATAGGGTCATGCAGGATTTTGTCCATCAACCGTAGGAAACCCTAAACCCTAAACCCCTAAACCGCTAAACCCCTAAACCCCTAAACCCTAAACACTAAACCCTAAACCCTGAACCCGTTCATGCTGCTGGGGTGCGCTCCGCACCTCGCCGCATTGAGATGAGGTGATCGGAGGACAGGACCTGGATTTAGGCGGGGGGGAAGGGGGGTGGGGTTAGGGGGTTTAGGGTTTAGGGTTTAGGGTTTAGCGTTTAGGGTTTAGGGTTTAGGGTTTAGGGTTTAGGGGTTACGGTTTAGGGTTTGGTTTAGGGTTTAGTTTGGGGTTCAGGGTTTAGGGTTGAGGGCTTTAGGTTTAAGGCTCAGTCTTCCGTTTAAAGAGAGACACAAGGGTTCCCAGTGATAACATATCTACACGTCTTCTTTAGGGTCTAGGACGTTAGATACTAAGGTCTAAGTTTTCAGGGCTGTAAGGATAGGTTCCTTTGAGGGATTTCTTCCAAGGGTTCTACGAAAGGGATACACGGCTTAGGGCTGAGGGCCTACCTGAACCCCAAATAACCTACTTTTTAGGGTTCCTTGTGGTGATCTCCCAATGTAACCTACTTTTTAGGGTTCCTTGTGATGATCTCCCAATGTAAGTTCTCAAAACTATGTGGGTGCAGGAAGGACTCCGATCCCAGGCTGCCCTCAGAACTTAAGCCAACAAAGGGGACTACAACAGAGGCTACCTTAAGAACCCCAAACCTACTTTTTTTGTAGGGTCCCTATAAATCCCATACTAGGGTTTGTAATAAGAACCTACAAAAAAAGTGGGTTTGGGGTTCTTGAGGTACAGCTAAACCCCGAACAACATCCCCTCGAAGCAAAACCTTCAACCGGCTTTCAATTCAAAGCCTTGCGCCCGAAATGGCTGAATCCTTCCATTAGCCAAACCCATACAGTTGCTAAGTGAGCAAAAAACTTCAACGGTATTGACAAAAGGTTCCCTACACCCTAAACCCTAAACCCTAAACGGTTCCCTACACCCTAAACCGTAAACCCTAAACCCTACACCGTACTTGAAAGGTCATTGGACATAGCCGGTCAGTTAAAGTTGGGGTCGTGTTTTGGCTTGGGCTTTTCGAGCTCGGGTTTGTTTCGCGCTTGCGGTTACGAACTTTGGGTTTAGGGTTCTAGGGTTTAGGGTTTAGGATTTAGGATTTAGGGGTTGGGGGCTTTCAGGTATATGTGCGGATGTAGGTAGCTTGGGGTTCTTCGAACTACAGGCCATGTAACTCCATGTAATGCTCTGAGTCCCCTGCGCCACACGTAGCTCCGGAGCTCCTATAGAACTTGATTAGAACTTTCAGACAACCGGTAAACACCGTTTAGAAAGCCAACAGACCGGAACACCCTAAACCCTAAACCC